CACACACACACACACACACACACACACACACACACACACACACACACACACACACACACACACACACACCACCCCACACCACACCGTCTCTCTCAAATGCACACAAGCAATACAATCTCCATTAAACTATATGGTAGCTGTACAGCATGCAAAGAGTGAATTGCAAGAGATGAGAAGATGGTACGGAGTGAATCTTTTAAGACTGCTGAGCAACTCAGTGTGGATCACTGTGGAATCTTTTGGATCCTTCCCCACCGCAAGTGGCATGAACCAAGCGTCAGGCTTGAAGATCAGGGATGGAATAAAAGTGGACGCTAGCGAGCTGGTCGTTGATGAATCGGATGCCAACAAGCCAACAATCAAGGAACATCTCAAGGGGCATGAAGTGCTCTCTGTCATGGACAGAGGGGGTCATACGTCACCCAAGCTCACTCTCTGAAGAGCAGGGTGCATTTTTCATATCATTTTCACACTGTGAGATGTGACGATGATGATCAAGATTTTTAGAGCTAATTCTCAAGAGTGGGGCTAACCCCAGTTCCAGTTCTTCGGCACCCTGGACGCTTGTATGATAATCATTACGATTCCCTGGGCCCTGCGTGTCACCAGATAGCCTCCTTAGTGGGGCAATTCTCTTTAGACGTGACGTAATTAGACAGGAACAAGGTGACACAACAGGTTCGCGCATTGTGATGTAGACCCGGTTCACAGCTTCACAGATGAATAAGGAGCGCGCTATCTCACAACTATTTGTTGTGAGCAGGGGAGGGGAGGTAAATCCTTCCGTGAGGAAGTAATCAATGCCCCACCCACTGGGGTCTTCCAACCATTATGGGGAGAAGCGTTGGAGTGTGTTATTAAGTTGAAAAACCTTGTATTTTCTAGACATGCCGGAGGAACAGGAATCGGGCTTACGCTCGCTCCCCAGAATGGAAAAAAGGAGCCAGGTCCATAAGGCCCCCTGTTTTTTCTTTTAAAAAAAAAAAAAAAGTAAAAAAAAAAAAAAAAAAAAAAGAGGGGGGGGGGGGGGGGGGGGGGGGGGGGGGGGGGGGGGGGGGGGGGGGGGGGGGGGGGGGGGAGAAGCGTTGGAGTGTGTTATTAAGTTGAAAAACCTTGTATTTTCTAGACATGCCGGAGGAACAGGAATCGGGCTTACGCTCGCTCCCCAGNGAGGGACGCTGAGCCCGGTTCTCAGCTGTTTCGGTTCGATTACTCCGGGCAGACTGTGAGGACCCCGGCCTCAATCTTATATTGGTAATATCAGCCTTGGGCACGGGGCCCGGTTATTTAAAAAAAAAAAAAAAAAAAAAAAAAAAAAAAAAAAAAAAAAAAAGAAAAAGGGAAAAAAAAAAAAAAAAAAAAAAAAAAAAAAAAAAAAAAAAAAAAAAAGAAAAAAAAAAAAAAAAAAAAAAAGTGAGGATGGCTGGTAGGGAGACAGGATCGGCAAGGGTCGGTTAAGTCAGACTTTGTGAAGTGAAGGAGAGGCAGGCAGGAGGGCAGCGGTCGGAGGCGGGGGAAGGGGACGGTAGAGGGGGGTTAAGGTTAAGACCATCAACTGTCACCGAAGCTGGAATCCATTTGACGGGGTGAATTCCGAAAAGGGGAATGTCGAGGCCAGTTTGCGATGCCTGTGACAGGTTTACAAGTCAGCCGTTGAGATTGAGATCAACGGCTAGTGACAAGTCGAGAACATGTTACTCTTCATATAACGCTATCACCATGATAGTTTATCAGTAGAAAGTACTAGAAACTGTAGAAGGCCGTCACCATATTTGAATTTTGAAGGTTAATAATAATCTTATTGGCCTGGAAAAGTGGAGGCCCAGGAAGCTTGTCAGCACTTGTAAATGGACTTCCAGACTGGTGAGGGTTTCAGATTGGTCGGCGTTCTTTCTGAGCGGAAAAACAGCAGCAACAAGAACAGAGTTCTAAATATGTGAAACCTTAGTGGCTTAGAAGTAGAAAGCAGTGTCCGGCGGAGTTTGTGCTCCTTGAAGAATGCAGCATTATTGCATGTGCAGAGAAACATCCTCGGCAGCGATTCTGCGCTGAAACTGCACGGCAACAGCAGGGAATGGCAGGGAAACGAACAGAAACTGCAGGGAAGTGCCAGTAAACTTGAGGGAAACTGCAGGGAAACTTCAGGGAAACGGCAGGGAAACGGCAGGGAAACGGCAGGGAAACGGCAGGGAAACGGCAGGGAATCGGCAGGCAGGGAAAAACTCCAGGGAAACTGGAGGGAATAACAAGGAAACTGCAACATGATTACAAAGTCAAGGGACAGTGCTGGGACATGAGACATTGCTCATGCCAAGCACGATAGGGGTTTTATTACCCTGTTGCTGATTAGGCGGGGCAGCGAAGAGGTGCTGGGAACAAGGTTTTCAGATATGGGACAGGTTGACGGCATTTAGGGATTTTATGATAGCGTTGCTGCCTGAGGAAAAAGGCGGCTGGACTGCAGCTGTGTGAATAACCGAAAGGGGGGCGGAGCGAAGGAACAGTTTGATGACAATTAGGGTTTTTAGGTAACGGGGTTTTCATAGCTGGGACAGTTTGATGACAATTAGGGTTTTGTGACCCTTGCTGGCTGAAGAAAGGGGGGAGTTGAAGAAGTGGTGTGAATAACTGAAAGGGGGAGCAGTGCGAAGCTGTGTGAATAAACTGAAGGGTAGTTGGATGGAGGGGTTAAGAGGTTTTGTGATCTGGGACATTCGTTTTCACTTGTGGAACTGGAATTTCCAATTTTGTAGCTTGAAGTCTGGCGGGTCGTGTCAGGAAGGAATTTGCCCGGTGCGCTCAACGATGAATAGTATATCCATTACAGTGGAACGGGAGAGGGAGGAACAGGTGCGAGGGAATCGGTGAATTGAGAACGTTTTTTTTTTTTTTTTTTTTTTTTTTTTTTTTTTTTTTTTTTTTTTTTTTTTTTTTCGGTGTGATACTTTGACAAGAACAACCTTGGTTTTTTTTGTTTCATGGTTTATTAATTGGCGATCTGTCATCAGCTGTTTTCAAACTTGGAGATTCCCTTCAGAGTTGAATAGACTCCCTGTGTGCTGTTTGATCCCTGTGTGCTGTTTGCTTTTCCTCGTCTTTCACTGGAGGCACACATACTCACTCTTTCCATTGGAGTTTGTTTGCATGTAGGGAAAAGGGTGGAGAAGTGGAGAAGAAGGCCTTTAGAGGCACACATACTCACTCTTTCCATTGGA